TCGAGTTTCCAGTCGCTCGGTCGGAGGATAAGGGAAATGAGGTGTAGAGGGGTATTAAAACGAAAAAACAAGCACAACAAACGATAGTAGCCATTTAAGCACACAATAAATATGTAACTCCGTTGGGACGTCCGTTTTCACTTCACCTGCATGACAAGCCACACGTTTGGCTGCCCTTTTGTAAAAAGAGAAGTTTTGTGCCGCCGGGACTTCGGTTGACGATGGGTGTCATTTAAGGCATCTTTCCATCGTTTGGTGCCTATGGAGCAGCACTGATAATGGTTTCCATGTCATCAGCGGGAGAGCCTCATTTTAAAGGCAATAAATTCTCAAATTTGCAGAAAGTATCTGTATTGTGTCCAGTAAATTTTTTTTCATTCGCCCATGATAGCATGTAACAAACTGACAAGAAACACATGAGGACGATCGCCGGAGATTTTGTTTTTACGTCAGATTTGTCGATGAGTGAGAATGATGCCCTGGCCGCACACTACCACATAGGTGAATATATAACGTAGCTACAAATCTGACTCTAATGTACATAACACGAGTCAATCGACTAATCAGTGGCTTGCCCGCTCACTGGCTGACTACTGCACAGATGCAACGACGATAAAACCGTAGTCGACATCCAATCCACCTCAATCGATTTCTTACGGTATGAAAACTTAATTCGTTGAAGGACAGCTGTGGTAGTCAATCAGTTTTATCAGTGGTTATCGACCGCAACTACCGTTTGTCATAACTAGCCAATCAATAGATACGACCGGCACTTGCGTCCAAACGAGAGACAACTCCTTTCTTCGACGAATACTGAGATACGGAACCGAATGATGGTTGTGAGATTTCTGTCCTGACAACGCCTATCATACCACATTGATGCGCATGATGATTATCACCATTCCCACAATCATCATCGCCCGCTGTTTTCGCCTTCTTCCTACTTTGCTAATCATAATCATCATAATCGCCATCATCACCAATCTGAGTCCGCCATATTTTCCGCACGTCGCGATTCAATTATATTCAAACGAATGCTTATCATCGAAAATACGTAAGCGTACAGAAGTTTCGCCGATCAGGGAACAAAGGTCACGCGAATGTTTAGCTAACCATTGCGCAGGCTAAATTCCACAAAACGTGACTACGCGGCACTTAAAAGCTTCTTGTAACAGCAATTCGAAAGATACTGACTACCATCC